TAATATGACAACATGGATGATTCTCACAGACCTAATGATGGGCAGAAGAAGCCAGAGACAAAGAATGATGACTATTTGATTCTATTTATGTAAAATTCAAGAACAGGCAGATATATCCTATCAATATAGAGTAGTCAGAACAGTGGTTAGTTTTTTGGGGTGGGGCTGACTGGAAGGAACCCAAAGGAATCTTCGGGGGTGCTGGAAATCATCTGTATCTTGATCTGAGTGTTGATTACACAGGTTTTATACACATACAAAGATTCATCAAGCTGAACACTTAAGATTTGATGTTTTTAGTGAATGATGCTAGAATCAATCAATTGTATATACATATAGAATAAAATGAGTCTGGCCTCCTACCTCAATTCCCTTTGTTTGTATATTTATAACAGACAAATTAGAATCACCTTACATTCGCAACAATGAGGGGAGGTTTAAAATACATGTGATATACATCCTTAAGTTAGAAATATAATATGGCATTAAAATGTTTTAAAGAGATTTGCTGCAAGATGGAAAACGCCTGTAACATTAGGTGGAAGAGGCAGATCGTGCAAAAATTCTGTATAAAGAATGATCAAAACTATGTAAAAATGTGTACAGAAAAAAGCCTGGAAGGAAGTAACACTAAATTGTTAATAGTGGTTATTGGTTGTCTTGGGGTGGGGAAATAATGGGAGAACTTTTTCTTATTTTTCTGTAGCTTGTAAAATTTCAAGACCTCCATAATGGCAGAACAACCTTTTAAAAATAATTTTTTCTTTACGAAGTCAAAACCCTGCCTTTTGAGCGCCTCCACTAATCGCTGTCCTGTTTTACTAATCTTTTAAGCTTTTCTGCTTTCTGTTATCCCTAGAAAATGTATTCACTGTTTCCTGTGGCTGGTTACACTGAGGCTTCTCGCTTTCCACCTCCTCATCTTGATCCACCCCGATTCCCAATTAAGAGAGAAGGCCGTTGGGCTGGGTACTTTATTGTCAAGCTAATGAAGGATGCCCAGGGCAGGGAGGCTGTAAATTTATCTTGCTGCCCACGAGCAAGGAGTGGTGTAATAAGAGTTCAGGTTTTGTTCGTAAGAGGAATGCAAATTTTGTACACCTGGTAGGTAAGCATTCATTCTACAGTGGTGGTGAGAAATGTTTCATTTTAGATCACTTAGGAGGGGTAGCTGCAGCCTAAAGAGAAAGACTCCCCCTCCATTTCATGGGACCATGGAGCTGCATGGTTGCACTGCATCGTGCATACAGGGCTGGGAGAGGTTATTTTAAATGCAGATTCACAGACCCAGCTCAGACCTATTGAATCAAATCTCTGGGAGGAGAGGCCTGGGCTTTGCTTCTTAGGAAGTCTGTCGGGTGATTTCCCCCTCCTTCATATTTTAAAATGTTATTTGATACCTACAAATATTATAAGTGAAATATATATATATATATGCATGTATGTATATCTTATAAAAAATACAGCACAATAAAGTACTTTCACCTATCACTGAGCTCAAAAGTTGGATCATCAACAGTAATTTATTTTTATTTATACTTACCTGTGTGTTTCACTCTCACACCTTCCTTCTGCCTCCCTATGAGAAGTAATATTTTACCTTTTGTGTTTTCCATTTTATTAAAATTTTTTAAAATAAAAGTTTTTGTCTTGGCATCTATGCCTATACAATATGTTTAGTTTTGCTTGTTTATAAAAAAATATTTTGGCACAGAAAAAGAAGTTCATCTACTTTTTTTTTCTGGTAAAATTTCTGATTTTAACAATCCTACAGTTCAGTGGCATTAATTACATTTGCAATGTTGTACAACCACTGCCACTGTTTCCAAAACTTTTTCATCACCCCAAACAGAAATTCTGTACCCATTAAGCAATAACTCCCCTCTCCTTCCCCAGGGGCCCCTGGTAGCCTCTAATCTACTTTCTGTCCCTATGAATTTGCCTTTTCTAGACATTTCATACAAGGAATCACATAATATTTTTCTTTTTGTTTCCGGTTTCTTTCACTTAGCATAATGTTTTCAAAGTTTTACTCATGTTGTAGCCTGTATCAGAACTTCTATTATCCATTCATTTATTGAAGGACATTTCGGTTCCCACCTTTTGGCTATTGTGAATGCTGCTGCAATGAACATTGGTGTACAATAATCTGTTTGAGTCCCTTTTCAATAATTTTGGGTATATACCTAGAATTAGACTTGCTGGGTCACATGGCAATTCTAGTTTAGCTTTTTGAGGAACCATTATACTGTTTTCCAGATACTGTATCATTTTATGTTCCTACTGGCAGTGTAGAGGAGTTCCAATGTCTCCACACCCTTGTCAAGACTTATTATATTGTTTAAAAAAATTTCTTTTTTCTTTTTGGATGTGGGGGAGTAATTAGGTTTATATAATTTTTTATTTTTTTTATGGGGGTACTAGGACCTCCTGCATGCTCAGTACGTGCTCCACCACTGAGCTATACTCTCCCCGTTTTCTTCTTTTAACTGTAGCCATATTTACAGGTGTGAGGTGGTGTCTTGTGGTTTTGACTTGCATTTCTCTAACGACATTTTCCAGCAATGCTGAGCATCTTTTCATGTATTTATTGACCATTTGTATATCTTCTTTGGAAAAATGTTTATTCAAATCATCTGCTTATGCTTTAATTGCATTGTTTTTTGGGGGTTGCCATAGGAGTTCTTTATACATACTAGATATTAGATTCTTATCGGATATATGATTTGTAAATATATTTTCCCATTCATAGATTCTTTTCACTTTCTTGATATTGTCCTTTGATGCACAAGTTTTTAATTTTGATGAAACCCAATTTATCTATTTTTCCTTTTGTTGCTTGTGATTTTGGTGTCATATCTTAAAATCCATTGCAAAGTTTACTTGTTTGTGAGCTCTGTAAAAATGGTATCATTCTGAATGTTAATTCCCTGAAACTTGAAGTTCTCTTTCAACATTTTATTTATAAAATTATCCATGTTTCTTTATAGTTCATTCATTCTCATGGCTATATGATGTCCTGCTATAGAGACACCACACATTATTCAGCCATTCTCCTAGTGGTAGACATCTGGGCTGCTTCTGGTCATTCTGCTGGTGCATCAGTGCCACCATGAATATGCCAAAGGGATTCTTCTGTACGCTTTAATTTAAGGACCACTGGCCTTTTTTTGAATGAATTGCTATTACATTTCAGTTGAACAGTTCTTGGGATATACAGCTGCAGACAGCTGAGTGAAGCGTATCTATTTTTCTCACCTGCCTATTTGGACTGATTCCTGGACTCTAAAACCATGCCAACCACTGCCATTAAGTGTGGTCTGTGTTTATAGTGTAGCTTTAACCACTTCGTATGATTTCTTGAAAAAAGCGGTCAGGTATTTTACTGATTTCAGGTTGCAGTGCTTTGCAGCAACAGGGAGATCGCAACTGATGGTGGAGAAAACGACTGTGAAAAGGAAATACTTACTTTAGAGCCCCATCTCAGCCACGTTGCAGGAGTGTCACTGAGGGATTTGAAATAATCCAAAGGGCTTATTTTTTTCGAAGGGAAAACCCTCCAGAACAAAGAGGCAAAGATTGACGGCTCCTCCCCCAATCCTGCAGAGTGGCTGATTTCGGGAAATCCTCTGGCAGCTACACGGGGTCACGATGTGGCCAGATTTCTTTGGCTCAAGCATGAGAAACACTAGGGGAAACTCGTGTGTGAAGCAAGACCTTGATTCTTAACAGGGTTGTTTGTGGCTTTGTTACTGGAAAAGGCAAGTGATCTTAACAAGGCCAAAGTGTGTAGACACAAGAATTACAAAATCGAGCAGGGGGTGGAGTGAGATATTGGAGGCATAAAAGCACCAGCTGGCGCCCCCACATCACTGCTCTTCCAGAGGCAGACAAGCTGAAGATGAGGTGAGTCCACAGCTCTGCCCCATCCCCTCTTTTCTCTGGATTATTTCATCCTTCTTTGCACGTATCTTTTACCTACATGAAAGCCCGGGTACCAGAGAGGCCTACAGGAGAGATGCAAAAAAAGTAACAAAGAAATAAGGCAGATGGACTAAATTATAGTGAATAAAGGGTCTGCTGTGTTGAATCCTCTGCTTTTCTGCGTCCATAAAAGGCAATGCTTTCAAATGGTGCTGTGCTCTTTCCCATGAGACATGACATTCTCTAAGAAGTATCTTTTTTCCTTGAGGTTATAAAGTTTTATTTTTGCAGGGGATGCTAGCAGCTCCCATGGGAGGGTTCCTGACATTTTAAATATGTTTATGAGCAGATTTTTTCTTTAAAACATTTTTAATAAGAAAGACCAATAGTGACAAATTTGAGTGACACAATGAAGGCACTCAGATTTTATCAAAATCAACTTTTTTTTTTGGAATGTTGAAATAACAAGACTAGAAACGTAACATAACCAAGCAACCTCTGAACAGCTGGCATCTTTCAGCGAGATGGTTAACTGGTAAGTGCAGCCTGTGCGTTGGTGCCCGTGTCCACAATCTAGCTTCCAGGGAGACAGTTATCTTCTAGGAAACCCTCTGCATTCCCTGAAGGCAAATTATTGTAACACAATAGGAACAACCATAAAAGTGTTTTAAAGGATATATTAAAAACAAAAACCTTTTATTATGCAAAATTTCAAAAAGGAGAGAGAACAGTGTTAAAAATCCCCACGTTCCCACCTTTGAGTTATCCGCATTTTACGAGTAGTGTCCTTGCAGCCTAGCACCTGCAGGGTGCCCGAGGGGAGTTTCTCTTTGCTGGAGAGCTCATATATTATTAACAATTTAATGTTTCTGTAATGCTGTTCAGAAACTAGCAATCCCGATGTGCCTTCCCGCCTTGGCTGTTCCTCTCTGAAGCTTCTGTAGAATTCCCCGCAGCACAGAGCCTGCTGGAACCTGGGCAACTGGGAAGCTGCTTAAGTGTGCACAAGGGTGGGTGAGGGGTTCCTTGGTCCTAGTACTTCCATATATATATTTTTTCTTTTCTGGCTTCCTAATGCGAGGGGTGTACGCATGAGTGCGTGCAGGCGTGTGCATGCAGTGAAGCGGGGAGACGAGCTGTGCACTACTTCCTGTTTTCTCTGCAGTTCCCTGGGAGCTGTCATTGCCCTCCTGCTCTGCGGACAGCTCTTCGCAGTGGAAAACGGCAATGAGACTGCAGATGCCACAGGTGGGTATTGGGGTTTGGGCAGGAGCCGTAAGTCCTATCACTGCTATATCCATCTGGACCCCATCAGATTTGCGCCTTCTCCTTGGGAAGATCCAATTGCTCCTTCTCGTCCTCATACCTGGTCTTTCAGTACCATGAAGAACACTGGGGAGCCAGCCAGAAATAAGGGGAGAGCGCCCTCCCCTGGGCTTCCATTTGGGGTGAAGGGAGGTTGATGTGCAAAGCAGCTTCTTCTTGTCTGACTTTTCAGGTCTCTAGGGGAAGTTTCCAAATTCAAACCTCTTCCTCCTGCTTCCATTTGCAGGTGACCACTGCCCAAAGGCTCCTGAGATTGCAAATGGCTACGTGGAGCACTTAATTCGCTATGGGTGTAAGACCTACTATAAACTGCGCTCTGAAGGAGATGGTAAGACCTGGATAAATGACCACATGCCCTCCCTCGCCTCACCATTTCCATGATGAATGGAGCCAGGGTGACTGACTAGAAAGTTCATGTGTTCTTTTCGGAGCCAGGAGATTTAAGGGTTTTGTCACTGGTAGCTGGGGCCTTTTGGGCAAATTAACTTTTCTCAGTCACAGGTTTTCTCCTTTGTTAAAGGGAGGTGATGCCATGTAGCCTACCCATCTCAGGGTGAGAACTGTATTGACAAAAGGAGACGAGGTAAAGGAACAAATGGCATGATGCTAATGACGACAGTAGCCCTTGCCTAGTGAGCACTGGGTTCTTGGCACTGTTTCAGGTGCTTCACACTTATTCACTCACTTGGTCCTCACAACACCCCTCTGAAGAGATACTATTATTACACTCATTTTGCTGCTGATAAAACTAAGGCACAGAGTGGCTGAGTGACTTGACCAAGTTCAGGTAGCCTGTAAGAGGGAGAGTCACAATTTGAACCCTGATTCTGACCCTGTACTGCCTCACCACGGTTGCCTTGGTCACCATGACCACGCCTCCATCCTGCGGGGCTTCGCTGGCAGCCCCAGCACAGAGCTCCTCCCTCCCTCCTCTTCTTCGGCACCCTCCTCCTCCTGCTTCTCTGATTCTGCTCTTTAAACACCTCCTCTTCCTGTGCTAGGTCCAGATACAATTTCCCTTTTGGCTCATTTTGTTCCTTTTGTTTCAGGAGTGTACGTCTTAAACAGTCAGAAGCAGTGGACAAATAAAAACGTTGGGGAGAAACTCCCTGAATGCGAAGCAGGTAGGAAGCCAGGGGCCCTGGGAAGCTGACTGAGGGTGGTGTCGAGAGCTTAGTGCGGGCAGGCATCTTGATCGAAATGACCTAGAGGCACATCCTCCCTGTGTGGTTTCCTCTGGGCACAAGAGCTGACGCAAGGGACCAGGGAGAACTACAGACAGCTGGGCAGCTTAGGTGGTGACTCACCACAAAGTTCACCAAGGGTCTTGTTCATTTGGGCCTGCAGGGCACTGACTGAAACCACTGTCTACAGTGCCCTCAAAGGGTCAGGAGACTCTCCATGTACAGACAGTCCAGCTAGAGAGCCTGGGACAAGGAGAAAGCAAGCTCCAGGAAGAACAAGTTAAGGGAGGGCACAACACCTTAATCTGTGGGAGGATGACACAGCAGGGGAGGAGACAGGCCAGGGCTCTGCTGCTGGCTACCGGGAGGGGCTGCTGCTCTCTCCTTTCCTCTTCTGCTAGTCGGGATGCAGAACTGCTAACCTGCCTGGTATTAGCTGCATTATCTACAAAAGCTGAGTTCCAGCCAACGCTGCTTCAAATCACTCTTTATTCAGAGAGAATGAATTACAGCCCCTTGCCCTCACAAGAAATTTCAGGGAATTGTGCACATTTCTTTGTTGTGATAAATTGCTTAAATATACATACAGTTCAATAGCTAGGGTGTGAAAATTTGTGTTACTTGTTTCTCTTGTGAGTCAGAAAAGCTGGAAATAGAACTCTTAGTGATGTAAACATTAAGAAGAAAAAGAATCTTTTTCAACTGTAAACACTGGGAACAAGAGAAACAGATGGTAAGGGCAAAGCATGTAGCTATTTCTACTTCTGAAGAAATGAACAATGATAGTTTAGACAGCAGCAAGAGTCAATGTTTACATTCCTCTTTCCCAAATTGGGAGACTCTCACATTCTGCTCCTAATTTTCTTGCTCTCCTCGACAGTATGTGGAAAGCCCAAACATCCAGTGAATCAGGTGCAGCGGATCATGGGTGGCTTGCTAGATGCCAAAGGCAGCTTTCCATGGCAGGCCAAGATGGTCTCCCACCATAATCTCATCTCGGGGGCCACGCTGATCAATGAGCAATGGCTGCTGACCACGGCTAAAAATCTCTTCCTGGGTCACAAAAATCATACAAAAGCAAAAGACATTGCTCCAACTCTAAGACTCTATGTGGGGAAAAAACAGCAAGTGGAGGTCGAGAAGGTGGTTCTCCACCCTAACTACTCCAACATAGACATTGGGCTCATCAAACTCAGAGAGAAGGTGCCCATTGATGAGAAAGTAATGCCCATTTGCCTACCTTCGAAAGATTATGCCCAAGTAGGCCGTATAGGTTACGTGTCTGGCTGGGGGCGAAATGCCAACTTCAATTTTACTGAGCATCTGAAGTATGTCATGCTGCCCGTGGCTGAGCAAGACAAATGTGTAAAGCACTATGAAGGCAGCACAGTGCCCGAAAAGAAGACAAAAATTAGCCCTGTAGGAGTGCAGCCCATACTGAACCAGCACACCTTCTGTGCTGGCCTGTCCAAGTATCAGGAAGACACCTGCTACGGCGATGCCGGCAGCGCCTTTGCAGTTCACGATGAGGCTGAAGACACCTGGTATGCGGCCGGGATCCTGAGCTTTGACAAGAGCTGCGCTGTGGCCGAGTACAGTGTGTATGTGAAGGTGCCCGCCATTCTGGACTGGGTTCAGACAACCATAGCTGACAACTAACGCAGGGCAGGCTGGAAGGACAAGGGAAAACTGGACAGCAGTGGAAGGGACGAAACGTGGTGTGTGGCTGATGGTTTGCAGCCCTGCACTGCTGGGTCAATCAATAAAGAGCTGCCTTTGACTCATTTGTGCTATTTTTAGCCTTTTAAAATTCTCTCATTTATGGTACAGCAGCAGCCAAATGGTCTAGAGTCTACTGGGAGTGCGGCAGAAGACGCCCCAAGTGGTCTGGAAACCCCTAAGGTGATACAGATCGTCCCACTGTGGGGCTTGTGCTCACTGAGTGAGTGCTAATGAACGGCTGGCCTCAGACAGGTCATCAGTAGAGACTCAGAGAAGTCAAGTGGTTTGCTTAAGGTTACACAGCTATCAAACAGTGAAGCTGCACCTTGAACCCAGGTGTGTCTAAATACTAATCCTGAGCTCTTTTCACTGCATCCTTTTGCTTCTTCAGAGTGAAGCAGGATGAGTGCAGACTGGTGAGGAAGATGCAAGCTCAAAGTGGGATGAAAGCAAGTATTTTGACACAGACAGTACTTGGCTGTTTGTGCTCTAACAGACCAGCGCTTCAGAAAACAAGGTTAGATGGTGGAAGGGCAGGATCTCTGGACTTGCTGGGTCCAAATCATAGCTTGTTGATAAATTTGCCAGGTTCCTTAAGCTCCCTGCCCATTAGGTCCCTGGTCTCTTCTATGGGGGGCTTAACTCAGACGATCTCTAAGGTCTCCAGCAGTAACAACATTCTGGGACTGGGCAAAGTTCGAAGTCTCTTCCTCAGATTTTCTAACTTAAAAAAACCCTACCCTTTACAAGGAGTCAAATGCAAGCTGTCTGAGTCTTCTATTTCACAAAGATAAGGGTTTTGTTATTAAGGGTTTCCCAGAAAAAAGGCTCTAGGATGCAGAACATGAAGCTCTTCTTTTAGCTGAAGAAGAAAAGTTTTAACTGGCTATGAGCCCTTACTCAGCGCACTGACCACCCCCCCCCCGCCATACGCCGTCCTGTCACACCAAAATACGGCCTCTCTTCTCATGGCTTAAAATGCTACATGGTGTCACTATTCTCTCTCCAGGGCTCTGCCTAACGCTGTGATGCTCAGATGCACTCTTCAGATCCATCAATAACTTTCAACAGGTTAGAGCTAGTAGGCCAATGAAGGACTCAGACCTATATTCTACAACTTGTGAAACGGGTAATAGCCAGAAACTGAAAAGTAACAGAATACAAAATAATGCCTCTCAGAATACAGTTATACCTATTTCTTCTGGTAGTATCTTCAGCACTAAGTTTTCTTGGAAAACAAACCACCTCAGTTTTCTTGATCAATAATCAGATTGTATTAAGTGGCTTCTGCTCACCACACAGGAGGAAAATAGTAAGAGAAAACCTTAGACATGATCTCAATTCACTCATCTCCTCTGCCTTCTTCCGCAGCAGCGCCTCCTGCTGCCCAGCTTCCCCCTTGGGTTTCAGTGACACTCCACTCTGCGTCTGCAGCTCTCTCAACACTTGTGTGGTCTCCAGCCCTTGGGCCTTCCTCCCCAGCGCCCTCTCCCGAAAACACCCTCCCCTGTCCAGGAGTCCTTTTTATGTGGCATCTGGCATAGGGCAGGGCACACAGTATGCACTTAATAAATATCTGTGGAATGGAGAGCAACTAAGATGGGAACAACATCATAAACCAGGACTTTAGAAAAACATTCCGAAAGCCCTCAGGAGGACAGATTTGAGAATCTAATGCACGCAAGCTCTGAGTTTTTGCTGTTATCTGAACACTTCGCACACATCAAACGCTGTGTGATTAAGGCTATGAGGGATAGAAAGTTCAGCCAGTAGTGACAAGCAATGAAGACGTTTTATTCTTTCATATAAGTCTGGAGGGAGGCAGGTCTAAAGTCCGCTCTGTGGCTTAGTATCATCAGGGACTCAGGCTCTTTTTAAATCATTCTTCTCTGCATGTTCATTTTCATCCCAGTGGTGGCCACCTCATGGTCCTAAGATGGCTGCTGCAGTGCCATGCATCATCATTTCCACAGAAGCAGGAAATGGGGGCCAGGAGAAGATGCAGTGAAGGGGTTTTGTTGTCTTATTCCTGGAGTGGCTCTCTCCTTTATCAACGAAGGCCACAGAGGTGCCCAGCAGCCTTTTTTCTACGCCACGTTTGTCAGAATCAGGTTGCGTGGTCACCGCTCCCTACGGGAAAGGCTTGGAAAGGAAGCATTTGGCAAAAGGGGATGGACTTGCAGTGATAGTGTTACCTTGCACAGAACTGGGCTTCTGTCAGCAAGGAGGTCAAGAGCTGCCAAGTAGGTCACGTGGTGCTTGGCCTACCACCCTCCGGCTCTGCATCTATTCCCTTATTCTAGAAAGTCAGTACCACTGGCCCCCCAAGAGCTTTTGAGAGCAGCAGTAACTTGCCCAAGTGGTGGCAGGTTGTGCCAGGGGACGCTGGGAGAGCAAGAATTCATCACTAAGTTATTAAAACAGGCAAATCCTATAAAGATGATAATTCTTGCTAACAACTCTGAGATGTCTTTCCAGTCTTGAGCCTTTGAAGTACAGTTTTCTGCCTCAGGAAGAGGCAGAGCTCTGGGAGAGACCTGTTCCTACTTATTAAACTCTTTATTTAGCTCAAATTGGGTCCTGGATGGTAAAGGTTCAAGTTCTCACTTTGTGGGTAATTTAATAATATAAAAGCTAGTAAAATGAGCAAACCGGGATATCTGTAAAATCCTGAATCAGAATGACTCCAAAATAAAACAAACTCGCCTCCTATCAGCAGAGAATCGTTTATTCCAGGAGAAACCGGGATAACAGGGACTGGAGATAGGTAGGCATGAGATAAATATGAGTAGAGGAGCGCATGGGTTGAGGTTGATGCAGGGGGAGTGCGTGTGTACATCTAGGGTAGAAGGTAAGTATTTTTGCTCTTATGGGAACTGACTTTCTGTTTTACTTGTGTGTCAAATAAACACAGTTGAATCAAACTGTACTAGCTAATGTTTGGAAGGATTCTGTATTATTTGAAAGAATAAAGAAAAGCACAATATAAAGAGAAGTTGAAATAACCGCACTGGGGAAACTGCCCAGGGCTGACGTGACTGCCTGAGGTCTGCAGCGGGTAGTGGACATGTAGGCGTCCCAGATTGTCACAGTGCCAGTCTGGTCTTCGGCTTGGGGGCCGGTATTTTCCATACATGTCAAACCTCTTCCCTGCCAGGATGCTGAACGTGTTTCTGAAGGACTCCAGAAAAACAGCACAGCTGGATTCAGGTACCGCTTCACGATGTGCCTTTCTCATCAACTTGACAGTAGTGAATGTGCTAAATGTCTTGATAGAGGAGGTCATATTTGGGAATATTCTTGGGATCAATAGGACTTTGGACAATAAGTTTTCCCCTCATTGCTCCTCGATAAATTACTTCAATCAAATCTATGAAGTCTTGTTTGGTTTTGAAACTTCCCACAAACTTAGTGTGATCTGGAGACCTAAATAGCATAGAAGAGAAACAACCTTGTTCAGAACTCTTCATAATCACTCATAAGACCTTCAGGATAAAATAAAGAGCAGCTCTGTTACTTTCTTCTTATTCTTCCGTTTTTCAGCTATAAATCTTTATTTTTTTAGACTTGTCCATTATTGCAAAATAAAATACAAAAGCAATAAAAAATTATACTGTTACCTTTCTTCTTGTCAGGGAGACTTTAGACACAAAGCTCGATGCTGTTTTTCCATTTGTGATTACAGAGCCTATCTGGTATCACTATAACCAGGGCCGTGGGAGAGCACGTAAGCTCTACCACGTGAAAAGCTTTCGCTCCAAAATCTATTTTAATCACTTCTCAACTCATCATGAAGTAGAATTCCTGGGTGTTGGTGTGGGCTTGGTTTGTGTTGTTGGTCAGATACTGTGCAAAGTCCGTTAGTCACCGTCTCCAAGTGCTAGTCAGTTCTAGTCATTTATACTTTTGAGCGGTAGGTATGACTTTTTTTTTTTTTTTTTTTACTATTTCAAATATCAAATATGTTTACTGTAGAAATTGTTTAGGAAAAAAAATTACCAGTGAGGCCAGAGGCCACATTTTGGTATATAATTTTTCTATCCTCTGTGTGTGTGTGCATTTCTCTTTTCACAATAGAGTCGTATCACACAAACTACCTTGTGATGAGCTTTTTTCAACTAATATATAACAAATTTCTTTCAAAATCATTAAACATGCATCTCTAATATATTAAATTAATATCTAGTATTATTTTGTGAACATCTATATTCTAAGTATTTTGCTTTCTAAATAATGGTGGGATGAATGAGCATCTATATATTCAGTTTTGGCCACTTTTATGATGATTTTCCTTCAGATAAATTCCTGGAAATGCTGTTCCTGGGTTAAAAATTTTACATAGTTTTAAGGTGGTAAGTAGTATCATAAATCACCCTCTGAAAAGGTTCACCAAATTAATACATGTGTCAACTGTATTCTAGGAGAATAAATAGCTTCAAAACACTTAAAACAGATAATATTTAACACTTTCAAATAAATAATGACAAAGCAGACACAGATCTAGACAAGTGGACCCCTCGATAACAGTAAGAAATATTACTACGGAGACATTCAAAACAAATATTCAGTACTGGGATGCTGACTGGATAAAGTGGAGGGCATTAAAGATCGCATGTTACTTATTCTTGACAGACTTTGTTGAAGAAAGACTTCAAAATTCTCTAAGTGGCAGAAGACAGGAAATGTGGCAAAGAGAAAAGCATGACAATTTGCTGAAGGAATACTTTCACAGGTGCAGCCTACAGGTTCCACAAGTTTGAGAGCAATGACGCGTTTTGCTTCAAGTAAAATCCCCGGGAGACTTCTGAAAAGCGGCTCTATATTCCCCACGCTGCAGGACGCTGGGGTGCTCCCCAGGCCGCACTTCTCTGTCACACTTGGGTAGCAAATCAAAATTTGCCATTCATGCTGGAGACGCTCTCATTTTGCACCAGAGTTTCACAGACAAAATTAGAGAGGGCATCAGTTGAGGAAATAATACCAATATAAGACTCACACAGCCTCCATTACGTGCAAATAAGATAGTTACTCAAACTGCCTAGATAAAAGAAACTTTTAAGACTGGGATAACTTGTCAATCGAACTTACCCATAATCCACTTTCATATGCTGCCCATTGAAGAAAAACACCGTAGATGGAATATAACTGATATCAAAATAGTGTGTATAAACTGGAGTTTGGTCCACATCTACCAGATATATAGCAGCCATTTTACTCAAGTCAGAAGAGGTCTTAGAAAGCTGCAAATAAAGAGACAGATGTAGGTTACAGCATGAGAAGCAGTTAATGTTTCTTCTGTGAACCTTTTTACTAGAACAGTGTTTGTTCTGGGCCAAATTCCTGGGCCAACAACCTAGCCTGTTTTGAGTTTCACATTAGACACAGTGTAACCTTACCATTCAGAGTCTGAATCACTGTTGGCAGGGTCATAAGAGGGCCTCGGGTAAGTTGTGTGAATATATATATTTTTTCCTAGTTTTGATTGTAAGAAGTTTTAATAAACATTTTATGGGTTTATAAAATTCATGCTCATTTATATAAAAACCGAAACAACTCAGAAATACGTACTACACTTAAATTCCTCCAAATTTATGAAATCTCATAAATGATAATTATAAAAAAATAGCAAACACATGGCACTTACTATGTGCTAAATGTTCTAAGTGCTTTATACTTGTTAGCTCATTTAATCCTTACAGCATTCCTGTGAGGTATGCATTACTGTAGTCACCATTTCCTAGACCAGGAAACCGAGGCACAGGGAAGTCACCTGCCCCTGGTCACACAGCTAGTCAGCAGTAAGGATGGGATTTGAACTCAGACAGCCTGGCTTCAGAGTCGACATTCTTGACCTCTTTGATATTCCCTCCTCCTCGCTACAGCAGAGGGTACAACGTGCTGACCCCCCCGCCCCAAGCCCCCAGGGTTAACACATCACACACTCATTTATAACCACAGTAATGGAGAGTCTTACACTGGACCCACACTGTGGGTGGCAGCAACAGAAATGGTGGGTGAAGTCTTAGTCCTGGGTAAGTCTCTCTCCATAATAAACAGAGACAAGGATGAGCTCCCTCTGTCCCATACTCCCCTCCCTACTCATCAGTATGAAGATGCTTTGTGAAATCAGAGATTATCATCAGGCACACACTGGAGGCAGCACACTAGAAAAGGATATTTGCAGGCAGAGAAAACAAAGTTCAAATTTCAGCTCTGCAACTTAGTGGTTCTGTGCCTGTGGGAAGTCACCTGACCTCCCTGGCACTCACCTCCCCTCTTGGGAACAGTAATTGTAATTATCCCCCTGTTGTGAGCACTGGATAAAATAATGTTCACAGATGTTTGTCAGTAAATTATGTTTCTGGTCTTCCATTGTCTTGTTGGTGAAACTGAGGTTTGACCGGTGCTAGCGGGGAAGGACATCCAGGACAGGTTCCGCACAATTGGAGATTTGTGGGTTCTGCTCAGGGAAGGCACACCACCAGCTCTGAGTGAAAGTGTGCTAACAAATGAACTACATCTCCGAGCCCTGACTGTTCCCTTTCATGTGCTTTGCAGATATTGAAGTGAGAATGTATAAAGTTTTAATAAAAACCATTTACTCAAAAAATTCACTTACAATATCATCTAGCTGCAGGCAGACGGGGTCCTCATCTCTGCCAAACCTGAGAACCAACACCTTCTCTGCGGTAGTTTTTATCACCTGGTCTACTTCTTTTTTGCTACTCAGCTTGGGTAATAGGAAGCTCATCTTGAAATAATCAAAATATCAATCCTCAGTGTCAGCCTGAAATAAAGTTGCAATGTTTAAAGACAGATTAAGCGCCTGAGTCCTAATTAAATTTTTTTTCAGTTTTTTCTTATATAAACATTGATTTTATTTTTTTTAACTTTTTTTTATTGAGTTATAATCATTTTACAATTTTTAAAAAATTTTTGGAGTAGGTGTCATGTGTACCTTTTTTTCCAGAGGAAAAAAGATTTCACACAACACAGTATCGAAAAAGTAAAAGAAACACTAAATGCACAAACTGGTGGCAAGTAAGATCATGGGTTTAAAAGAAACAATATAGAAAGGTACACTGTGAAAAGTCTCTCTCCATCTCCCCTCAACTGGCCTAGTTCCCACTGCTCTGCAAGTGGTTACCAGGCAACTACTTTCATTACTTCCCATGTATCTTCCAGAGTTCTGTTATGCATTTACACACAAAAAACCAAAAAAACACGTTCCTATGTTTTCTCCCTGTTTTACCCAAAAGAGTGTATCCCATCAGTCAGTGTTCCAGCAGGGAAGAGAAGACGTCCTCAAATTTGGCAATTTGAAGACTTTCATTAAGGCAGGGTGTAGGGAAACTGCAGGGTGTGGTGCAGTACCCTGGGGCTAGTAACAGTGGGCATTGTTCTCACTCCTAGGCTGGCAGGAGCCACGGGAGGGAGGTGTTACCAGAACTGTGTGGCTGAGATTGCTGGACAGAGGGGGCTGCTCTATAGGAGGTTGGCTTGCTGTTCAGCGATGCAGTCACTCTCCTCTCTCTCTCTGGTCCCCTCCTAATGTTCCCACTGGCTGACTCCAACTGGACCGAAGAGGGCAGGGGAGCTGGGGAGGCAGGCAAGCCTCCTGGTCCCAGGAGCGGTCCAGAGCAATCTAGAGCAGGAGGAAGAGTGAATCTGGAGGGGCAAAAGACAGATGCCCAGCACACACAATTTACCCACTCTTCTGCACATTGCACGTTACCTAACACACGAAGATCTTCTCATATCTCTATATAGAAAACTTAACACTTTTTTTGTCACAGAGACATCCTATTTCATACATGTACCATACTTTTTAAAGTCTTTTATTGACAGACACTTGCATTATCGAGCCCTGACTTAAAGTTTCTTGGTGTATGTCTTACGACGTGTACCTCATCACATGGCAAACAAATTAAGAGTGTGTCAAAACCACACACACACACACGAAACAAATCCTAAAATACTGAGCTAGAAGGAGACCCTCAATCTCCAACTAGTTTGCTTATAGTTACACTTCTAGCTACAAGAACAAGGACTAGAATCCACACTGCCAAATTTCTAGTCCAGCATTCCTTCTATTGCAATAAACCCTATTTTTATAATTGAGGAACTTTTTGATCAAGGAATTTTATTTTTGATCATCCACGAGAGACTCCACTGAGATACTTTACATTTTGAATTCAGTTCCAAAGTTGTCTAACACTATGAAAAGGAAGATTTCCTTCTCTCTCTTTCCAACTCCCCCGTTTTTAGTGACAAATCACATTTTTAAGGTATGAATCCCTAAAAATTCATATAGTAAATGATACTGTCCCAATAATAGGTCATACTTTAAATAAGGAAGCTGACTGCCAGATGGGATTTCAACAAATATAGGTGGCAGAACAAATTACTGATGAAAGGAGAAGTCAAAGAGAAGACGAATCTGCCCCACCACTAGAACTCTGCAGCAACTTCTGCATGCTACTGATAAAGAGAAGAAAGTGAGGGGAGAGCAAAGCTGACAAGAGGGAGCGGGGAGGTGAGGGTGTGAGAGAGTGGGACTGGATTAATGTTGAAAAGAGGAGAAGGAAACTGCGACTACACCTAAGAAAACGCCTATAGGAAAGGATATCAACAGAGGATTCACAAAAGAACAAGTACTATTGGACAAACATATTTGGAAAGTTCTGCTTTTCTAGTAAGCGAAGGAAGCAAATGAAAAAATATATTTTAAAAAGTCATTAAATTGGCAAAGATTAAACAATAATGGCAAGGTGTGAGTGAAGGGGCAGGCGTTCATAATCCCTGCTGCAATGCAGAGAAGCAAAATTTTTCTAGAAAGAACCCTGAAATACCCATTGACTAACGATTCAATTTCTGAGAATTCCTAGTAAATAATTAGACATGTACACAGAGAGTCATGTAAGAAGGATATTTGTCACGTTTACAGTGGCGAAAAACTGGAAAGAGCCTCAAAAGCCAACAGTAGGGGATTGGTGACAAAAGGATAGTACAGTCCTGCAATGTACTGTCACTATATACTATGCTAGAGATGTACAATTCAGATACTTGAAAAATTCTCATGATAAAACAAGTTATAACACGGGAGTATACAAAGTGTACAAAACCTAAGCATATGCATATGTACATATTCACACAGAAAAACAACTAGAAATGAATATTCCCAAACATCACCAAAGGTTATCTCGTCGTGTGAAGAGACGACTGACTGACTTACATTGGGGCAGGCGTCTTTATTTTTCCCAAATATCCGACATACGTATTTTTAATGATGCCTGTGATTGGGCTACTCCTGGCCCACAACTGCCAGGGAAAACGACACTTACTTTATTTGTTCAAATCCCTCCCTCTCTTCCACTTCACGGCTGTCGGCAACTCCGACGCTTTCTCCAAAAAGCCGAGACTAAGGCAAGTCCTTTTTTCCGCCGGAACCGCCTCGGCGACCCTAATCCGAAGTAACCCAGGGACTGTTGCCTAGCAACCGTCGGCCGACCATTTAAGGGGACGGAAACGGAAAAAGAAAATGCACAGGCGCAGTGATGAACGCGCGGTCGACCCCGCTCAACAGTCCAATAAGCAGAAGAGGCTATTTTAGTGACCGCCCACCTGCACCGGCTCTACCGGAAGCCTTAGGGTCACTTCCGCCCTTATTAAACCTGACGGATCTCTTTCCTTCCTCCTCTCATCTCTCGAATAGAGGCGGGGCCTGGCGTCTTAGGCTAAGCGTGATTGGTCGGAAGGAGACCCGGAAGTGTCTCTGATTAGAGTCCCAGGGGACGACAGACTAGCCTTGCGAGCCTGGTCGCGTTCCGTCCCACACTAGGAACAGGCGGTTTCCGGGCTGCTCTCGATGGTATCTTCGGACGGATAGAAGGGGCCGCGCAAAGTATTAAGGGACAACAATGGCGGCTTTGAAGGTGAGGATTTTGGCTCTCTGAGGCGGTCTGAGCAAGCAGTGGCGGCGCCAGTACCCCAGTATCAGGGACAAAAGGTCCCGAGAGTCGGGCTTGGTGAGGTGAGTGTCCCTTCTTCTTTTCCGACCTTTCCTTCGCCAATCGTGGCAGCTCCAGGCGGCGGATATCGGTCCCTCGCTCAGGTTCAAGCCGGGTTTGTAAAGTCTTGTCCCTGTCACCCAAGTTGCTTTACACACCGTAGGGATGCTGCACAGGTCCTGCCTGCCCCAGCCTTTTTCCTTGCTCAGCTTAGATCTTGGGCGGCCTCACTGAGGTTCTGGATGCTGCCTGGTGGGGGGGTAGTCACCCCGCTTCCTTCCTTAGACCTCCCCATTAGCCCACTCCCAGACGGGCACCAAGCCCAGTAGGGCTTCTTTTGTCTTTTTCTTCTCTATCACAGTAGTGTCTCTATCAGGCCGTATCTTCTCCTAGAATGTTAACTTCAAGAAGGTCGCGATATTTGTCTGTTTTGTTCTCTATCTCTAATGCCCAGAACAGCGATTGGCTCACAGAAGGTGCTCAGTGAACGATTGCTGAATAGGTATATCCTGTTTCTTTTTTCGTTATTTTTCTCTGCCTCTTGTGGCTTCTTTGCCATTAATCCTTCTTCACAATCCAGCATTTAACTCCTTGTTTGTTCCTAGCTGCTAGTTGTCCCATCATATTCCTTTTCTGTGTTACTGGTATCTTTCCTTACTGTCTCTAGAAATTTTTGGCTCCCTGTCTCCTTTAATCAGTTTAAACTCATTCATTCATTTATTCTTCAAATATTTATTTTGCTAGGTACTGGGCATAGCAGTCAACAAGACAGACACTATTCTCTCTCTTGCATAGAATGACATTCTAAGGTTATATTTCCTAATTCAGACTACTGCTGAGCAAAGCCTGTGTATCTTATCTTGTTTAGATTTCCTCTCATGAGTACAGATGTCGCCATAGGTAGCTTTCCCTTTTCTCTTCAACCTGATGGCATTTTTCAAAATGCAACTCTTTTTTCTGGGTCCATACTATGTGTTCAATCTTTTTGGCAATGTTCTTCTATGGAGCTGTGCATGTTAATTAGAGCTGGGTGAAACATTCTAGATTCTATTGATACTCTACACCATTGACAGTTCTTTGCTTCACTGACTTGTTGGAATGAGGGAAATTATTCAGGTAGTCGGAATCAGATATGTTTATGAATAGATGGTGTACAGTGGGAGGCAAAGAGGAATTTGTTACAAGGTAGTGCCAGGAAATCTTATAGTCACCTAAATACTTTTCAGAAATACCATTTCCTAGCCTGGTGTTTCTCATCAATATTTTTCGTGAACATGAATTGTTATTAAACAGATTTTGACTGCTGTGAGGTAATTCTTTTCTATAAAACACAACTGGTCCCCAAAATCCATTAAAGTATGGATGGTAGTCTTACATGTCAGCGTTTCTGCTCTGCTGTGTCTGTAGTTTAAAGGAAGGGAGAAGAGGAAGAATTTGTGTAAAAACAATGGTGAGGAGCTCAATCAGGCTATAGGAGCATAGCAGATGAAATAATGTAACAATGATATTTTGTAACTGTGTAACTTTACAGCCTATTTTCACATACACTTTCTTGTTTGATTCTCATAGTAACCCCGTAGATTAGAGCAAAAAGTATTTCCATTTTGCAGATACAGAAATTATGCCTAAGCCACAATTAAGTTTCTTGCTTACAATCATACCGGTAGAAAATGTCAAGAGCCTGGGTTCTAGTTGAGGTTTCTGATTTCAAACCTAGCAGTGTTTTCCCTGTGCTCCCTCTGTAGATGCTGTCATTCTCTAGTAAGTGTCCCTTAATGGGGTCTCTTCTTGCTTGGATGATACTGTCTTGGATCCTGGTGTGTGTGTGTGTGTGTGTGTATGTTTATGTGTATATGTGTATCCCTGATGTGTGTTGGGGTGGGTGTAGGAAGATCTTTCGAAATTGTCAATGATTTGATGGCCAGGTCTTGGCAAGAGGTAACTAAAGGAATTCTGGTCTTGATGGGGAGGTCAACCCCCCCAAGTATACCTATAACTACAGTTACTCTGGCATTTGCAGAGCCAAGCCTTTTCCCTTCTTATGTCTAATATCAGATGGTTTGTTTTCCTTCCACAGAAGTCCCAGAGCCTGTCATGGAGGACAGCAGTGAGGATGCCTCAATCCATCGATTAGAAGGCACTGATGTGGACTCTCAGGTTGGCGGTCTTATTTGTAAGACCAAAAGTGCTGCTAGTGAGCAGCATGTCTTCAAGGCCCCTGCTCCCCGCCCTTCATTGCTGGGACTGGACTTGTTGGCTTCCCTGAAAAGGAGGGAGAGAGAGGAGAAGGATGATGGGGAGGACAAGAAGAAGTCCAGAATCTCTTCCTACAAGGACTGGGAAGAGAGCAGGGATGACCAGAGGGATGCTGAGGAGGAGGGCAGTGACCAGGCTGGCCGAAGCAGCCGAAAAGACAGGTAAAGGCCTTAGGGTGGGTTGCCCCGAAGGGAATGAAAATGGAGGCCAGAAAATAACATCCCATGTTTATCTCTCAGTTTTCTTGTTGGACATTTAGGACTTTATGATATTACTATAACTCTGTAACGTTGAGAGTAGCTAGGAAATGGTATTTTCTTCAGATTTGGGGGAACATTCAAAGGTGACCAAAGAGTAAATGATGGAGGTTAGAAATGCTTATGGTTGTCACCACTTGCAAGCCTGCTGTACCAGGGAGATAAAGTGGAAAAGGTCAGGTTGCTTGTTTGGCACAACCAAAGGTTTGGGGCAGGTTTTTCATCCATGGAAGAGCCTTTTACCCACTGCCCTTCCTGTTTCAGACATTATCGATCTGCTCGGGTAGAGACCCCATCCCATCCTGGTGGTGTGAGTGAAGAGTTTTGGGAGCGCAGTCGGCAGAGGGAGCGGGAGAGGCGGGAACATGGTGTCTATGCCTCGTCCAAAGAAGAAAAGGATCGGAAGAAGGAGAGGTCTCGGGATCGAGACTATGACCGCAAAAGAGACAGAGGTAAACTGCTCAGCATGGTTCCTTGTGCCTGTTAAGCATCTGAATGAACATGTCAGCCTCTTTCCCACTGTGGGAGTTTTTGTAACACCCATTAATTTTGGAGCTCTATTTGCATACTGTCAGTCTGGTTGTTTTTGACCTTGTTTGGTATTGGGATTAGCAAGCAGTTGAAGAAAAGTGCTGTTACTTGCAAAATAGCTGCCTTGCTTGAGTATATAGTCCTCGTTTTATTGAGAAAATTGGCGATAAAAGTGATAATGGGTAATACGTTTGAGAAACCAGAGTTGACAATAGTGTTGGCGAGAAGGAAAGGACAGTGCTGTGGAGCAAAGTTAGACATAAATGAAATCCAATGCTGGCTTTCCTCAGTATTAGTTTAAGTCCTATAGCTTATAGGTTTGTAACTATTAAACTGCTATTCACTATAGACTTGTAATTATTCTTGTTTGAATTCTTGCAGGAAATAACTGTTACTGTGAGTTTGACACTTTCTAGCCAGTAACTAATTTTTGCCCTTGAAAGAATGGGGAGATGTGAGTTTCAGGAGCCCCTGGATCGCATTAGAGCAGTGAGGTTGCACCTGTGAGTGAGTGGGGAGGCCTGTCCTTTCTCTAAGGTGAAGATGGGTGGAAGTTAGGATGGGACATGTGTTTTCTGAGCTCTGCCTGACTCTTAACAGATGAGCGGGATAGAAGCAGGCACAGCAGCAGATCGGAGCGGGATGGAGGGTCAGAGCGCAGCAGCAGAAGAAGTGAACCTGAGAGCCCACGACACCGGCCAAAAGGTGGGCCAAACTGCTTGTGGCGGTCTGTGAGGGTCACAAGTGTGAGAGGCAGGGTGAGGGGCTCCCATCCTCATGGGATCGGGTGAGAATTCCTGATTCCACCATGAACTTCTTGGAATACTTGGTTCTGAGTCAGTTGATTCATTTGGGAAGGCTGTGGACTTCTCTGTCAAGATGGAAATGCTCCCTCAACATGATTGGCCAGTTTGCTGAATGGGCAGTTTCCCAAATGACAGAAAAAAATAGGGAGCCGGTGGGGGCAGAAGAAGGATTTATTATAAAGAAATATGTATATTCAAGAGAGAGATGTTTGCAGAGATAAATGGGATATTCCTTAAAATGTTGTTATAAACACAGATGAAAACTGGACCATTAAAATTTGTATATCTTTAAAAGCTGTCAAAACTACCTTATCCATTACAAAGAGGTGCAAAGTTTATAAATAGTGAAAGAAAGAAACTTGGGAAACTGACTTTCACCTAATGGTTATTGAGCCATGTCTTAGTGAGATTAGATGTCTCCTGTGGGTGTGTCTTTTGTGGCCCCAGATGCAGCCACCCCTTCACGGTCTACCTGGGAGGAGGAGGACAGTGGCTATGGCTCTTCAAGGCGCTCGCAGTGGGAATCGCCCTCCCCAACGCCTTCCTATCGGGATTCTGAGCGGAATCATCGGGTGTCCAGTCGAGATAGGGACAGGTGATGTTCTGAGTGGAGCAGCCCAGGTTCCCTGGATGGGTGACACAGGGTGGGTGTGGTTTGGGCCGGGAGGCCAGATGGTGGCTAGGGAACAGGTCTCTGCTTAGCAATGTTTAGTGAGACTGGTTGTACTGTTTCCCAGGTCTGTGAGGAGCAGGTACTCAGATGACACACCTCTGCCAACCCCATCCTA